AAAAAAAAAAAAAAAAAAAAAAAAAAAAAAAAGTACTTTGCAATGATTTCACAAACACTCATTAGTTGGTGTTCAACCCAGATAATGTTTGTTGTCGTGTTAATGCATGAAAATGTGTGAGTGATTTAGATGCTTCAGTGTTGCACAATCACGTTTGCTTTAATGTACAGGAAACAAGGTGGTGCGCCCCATTATTTTAATTAGAACACGATCTGTGCCGCTGCAAGTTGGAGGTCAATATTAATCTAGTTCTTTTCTTTCATTTAAAAAAAAATAAAAAAAATCCTTTCAACATTCTTGATCAAATCCTCTTGTAGTATAAGGTGTCACTTTTGCGGTGTGTCGGGTGGAAATGTCATTATTTCGAGCTATACTTTCCACAAAATATTCTGCATACCTCTGTGATTATTGACAGTTTTTCCTGACCTTTTTTTCCCGAGGACAGTCGGTATCTTTTATTCCAACTTTTAGGTTTTTACCCATGTCCAAGGCATTTTACAGACCCTTCTTGTCATCCCCGAGCAGACCCCCCAGTGCTGAAATATCTGGTCTGAACTCCTGCAGTCCTTAAGCTGAATGTTTCTTCTTGTGACACAGCTTCGCCCCCAATATTTTTATTTTCTCTTCAGGCGATAAAAGAATTGTGTTTATGTTTCTGGTTTGTTTGTTTCCTGACATGCATTGTTGCAGTTTGGGAGGAGTTGTGGCTGGGCAGGTAAATGGAAACAACAGCTGGCTAACGTGACCGTTTCCTCAACAAAAACTACCCCGCATTTGTTGCAGGGGAAAGCAAACAAACAAAAAAAACCACTCCTCGGGTATATAAAGTGAATTATTGCAGTTCACATCTCCCAGCTTGGGGGTGACTTCCTTGCCTAGATTTACATTTTACCACAAATGTTGCAAGTCAGAGCAAGTTGTGCCTCATCGCTCTGTCTCAGGGCAACAAACCGTCTCCCACATCAAAGCCCTCTTATTTCCTCTCTCCACATGGCAGCATTACTTTGTATTTTATAACGTTGTTATTTAAGTTATTATTATTTAAGCTCTCTGAATTAGAAAATAACTTTTGGGGATTCCCATGGCGGGAGAGAAAAAAAAAAAAAGTGCTTATTGCAGATTTTCTCAAGCAACTGAGGAACAAAGGGTATCAAAGCGCTTTAGAACACGCTGACTAATGATTTACGCTCGCTGTTTTGTTGTCGTAATGTGACTTGTGTCCCAATGGTGAGTAATAGCATCAGTCTAAAGAGGGAGACACTGTCACTCATATCACTCCCCTAATCAGACTGTGGTTTGTAGCCGCCGGGGGCTGGCCAGCTGTGTCCCTGCCCTGCTGTCCCTTTTGTGACACCCAGGGTAGGCTGCTCCTTTCACAGAACATCTCCAGCTCTCTTCAGCAGGAGCCTGACGCGCTGCGATAAAAACTTCCTGTTGTCTCCAGTGCCCGTCAGAACTTGAAGCAATCAGAAAGGGTGAACTTGAAAAGCTGGATGTTAAAGACAGGACATTAAGAGAGTTGAAAGGTGATATTTTTTAAAATTAATAATAATTTCTGCATCTTAGATGGGAGACAAGAGTGTTTCACTGGTCTGGAGAGCTATTAGTGTCTCAAAGTACCTCTTAATACTAAGGAAGTGTGAAAAATGCATCAGGGGAGAGAATTTAGAATGTATTTTCATGGAATATAATTACAGTGAAGGTTTTATATCGTAATAGTAACAGAATAAAACAGAGAAAATTCAGTATTTATTCTAAAATATATTGATAATCATATGATATATGAATATCTAAGCAGAAGAGATGGGGACAAAACCTCTCAGGAATAAATTTTGAAGTTAAAGAAAAAACTTAAAAGAAAGAAAATATATACAGGATGGTAAAAGCTAATTTGAATCTTTAACATGGTTACTCTCTCCACAGAATATAAAGTAAATTGGCCAAGAATGAAAAGTCGTAATAATCGCTCGCAGAAAATATATCAAAAGGAGGAATGCACACCATCATTGGAAGGGAAGAGAGAATATGCACTCTGGCATGGAGCAGAACATCACCTGTATTAT